TACAGACTGATATTAATCTTTAATAGCGCTGTCAAAACTGAGAGAAAACAAAACAAACGCTGTATAATGCCCTCCGCTATCTTAGTTTGATTGGTCACATGACTGCATCACATCACTAAAATGTGTCATCGTTTTTGAAAAGGCTCGGGATTCGCTGTCCACACTGCAACACGAAAACGGCTTTGGATAGCGTTTTCAAAACGCTGCGTTTTCCTTCACCGAAAATGGCGTCTCAGTGTGGACATGGCCACAGTGTAACCTGGATGTGCTGCAGGTACTCTCTCATCAAACCAGTACTGACGAGGATATCAATAAGCAATTCTAGGAGAGAATAATGGTCTGTCCCATCACCTGCAGAATCATTTACTTTATGGAGATTGTCTTGGAACTGTAAGAGCAGTTTGGCGAGGAAGAACAGCTAGCAGGTCCAGTGAGCATGTGGTGTGGAGGTTAGCTGGATAACTCAAAGTCAGTCAGTTAAATCGAACAACACATTATTTGATGTTAGCAACATAAGACCACACAAGCCAAGTCTCCACGGCTCTACTCTGTCCGTACGTACATGTGCGGAGATGGGTAGTCACCGGCGCCAGCCCGTTACAAAGGTATGGTTTCTCTCAGAACAGACACACAAGCATGTAATGGCTGCCACACTATACTCACACACCCACTACGAGACTCCCCCAACTACTACAGTAGTAGGGCAACCCCCTCTAGTGGTGCTATAACACAGTAAGGCTTGTCAAAAAAAGGTGAAATTAATTGATTCACTTACACTTCCGAAGACGACAGCTTGATATCCGTAAAGTTTAACTTGTGGTTGATGATCAAGTGTTCCTTTACTTTTTTGAGCTGTGTATTTCACATTGTACACTAACAAATAAAAACAGTTTTCAGTTGGTGCATTGATCCTTCTATATCATATTAATTAAGATCTTTGTTACGTTAGTCTTAAGTAGAATATTTATCTTTTTTCACACCATTTGAAACCTTGATGCGTAGTTCACTTTTTCTCTGTCCGGACAAAGTTAATCTTGTAGCACAGCATCATGATAACTGTTTTAGTATAGATTCAGATCTATGACACTCATAGCTGTGTCTTCTAACAAAGCAATGCTTTTCTGGCCATCTAATGTACACAGCAGGGAAAAACATGTCTGGAAGTGGCAGCAAGAGGAAACCATGTCGTCCTGGTGGACATGATAATTAAAGCTGACCGTTTTTCTAAATGGGAGAAGGTAAGTGTTGCTAACGCTATATTAATACTAAATACACTCTCCTTATATGAAATCTGTGCTCATATTCGATAAATACATTTTCACTCTTTTCCAGCGTATCAGCACCCATGTCCTGTGAGTTTTTCACATTATATACATATTAATTGTTTTGGATTTTGTAATAAAAAAAGAATCCTGGCATACAGGCATAGTTATAAAGAACGAGAACAACTCAGAGCATACACTATGACTAGGTCTCCAAGATAATTAAAACATAAGAAACCAGGAAGGGGCATGTATAGGAATTTCTTTTACTTATGTATTGATCACATTATTTTATTGTATGATATCTTGGTGCCACTGGATTTTAACATGTCTCACACTCATACAGTAAGACAAATGGTGGGGGTGTAGTAAGGAAGTTGGGGGAAGCAG